ACACAAAAGGGGTATCGGTGTTACAATCCTTCTCTACAACGTTATTTTGTGAGTGCAGATGTCACTTTTGACAAGTCCACACCCTATTTCTCGAATCATAGTATATCGTCTGAATCCACTAGTGTCCCTGCTAGCTTACCCATACCATATCTACCTGTTGGTATTTCTCCAGACCTAGACTCGACTTCGTCTGCTGTACCAGAGTTGTCTTCCTCTCCTAAGGAACCACCACCTCCTTTACACACTCGACGACCTAAGCCACCAACATCTGTGGCCCCATCAGTCACCTTGTCGTCTACAGATCCTGCTTCCGTCATCTGTTCTGATCCTGAATCATTGCTTATTGCTCTCCGTAAAGGTCAACGTACTTGTGTAACTAAACATCCTATCAGCCACTATGTTACTTTTGATTCGTTGTCACCTTCTTTTTCTTATTTCACATCCCAACTTTCTAGTATTTTTGTACCTACGATAGTGACAGAGGCTTTATCTGATCCTGAGTGGCGAAAGGCTATGGAATTAGAAATGACAGCCTTGCATGAGAATAAGACTTGGGAACTCGTTCCTTCACTGGCTGGAATACATCATATTGGTAATAGATGGGTCTTTGTTCCGAAGTTCAATCCTGATGGGACAGTTGATCGATTGAAAGCCCGATTAGTTGCTAAAGGTTACACACAAACATATGGCGTTGATTATGATGAAACATTCTCTCCAGTTGCTAAGATCTCTTCTAGTCGAGTTTTGATTTCCATCGCCGCTAACCTTGGTTGGCCTTTGTTTGANGTTGGCCTTTGTTTCAACTGGATATTAAAAATGCTTTCCTTCATGGTGACTTACACGAAGAGGTTTATATGGAGCAACCACCTGGGTTTGTTGCTCAGGGGGAGTACCGGAACTATATTTGTAAATTGAAAAAGGCTTTATATGGGTTAAAGCAATCACAAAGGGCATGGTTTGGGAAGTTTTCTGAGGTTGTTTTAGAATTTGGTCTTCAGAGGTGTCAGACAGATCATTCAGTATTTCATTGACAAACTGGTGCAGGTTACGTTGTTCTTGTAGTTTATGTAGATGATATTGTAATCACTGGTGATGATGCTGATGGGATTGTCCGGTTGAAACAATTTCTACAAAAGCATTTTCAGACGAAAGATCTAGGCAAGCTTCGATATTTCTTGGGTATTGAAGTCGCTAGGTCACGAGCTGGTATCAATTTATCTCAAAGGAAATATGTACTTGATTTGTTAGATGAGATGGGTTTTCTTGGAGCTCGTCCTGTTAATACTCCCATGGATCCTAACATGAAACTTTTGAAAATGAAGGAGAATTGTTTGGAGAACCAGGAAAATATCGTCGTTTGGTTGGAAAACTGAATTATCTTACCATCACACGACCAGACATTTCCTATGCGGT